CCTGTCTGTATCATGTCAGTCGATCGCACCATTACTTCTGTACCACTGAAAATTTAAAATATAAACAAACTTATAAAGACGACTGAGAAGACTGAACACAAATGCCCCAAAAAGAATTTTATTTTTTTTTTTTTTTTTCAGATTACAAGCTGTATGTAGCAAAATATGCAGCTGAAAACAGTAATCGAGCAGCAGAAAGAAAGTTTGGAGTGAGCGAGAAACTTGTGACACCGAGAGGATGCACCATCCAACTTTCCTCATTGGATGGATGGACAAAGCCTGGACTTCAGTGACACTGAAACTATCCTGTCAGGATTCAGAAAGGCCGGAATAATTCTAACTGGAACTGATGCTGAGTCTGACGACAGCGACACAGAAGAGGAAGCGGCGCTCTGTTTACCTCCAGAGGTCGTGGAGTTGCTCAGAAGTGACACCGAGGATGGAGAATTCAATGGATTTAGTGATTTGGAGTGAGATGGAGAGTTTGTTAAACTTGTTCTGTTCTGTTGTTTATGTTATAATTTATCTGAAGAACTGTTCATATGTGACGTTAACAGTCTGTTGTTCTCTGTTCTATTGTTATTACTGCAACTTGACTTTCAACATGAAATATTGGTTCCTGGTCTCTGAGTTTATCAAATACATTTCTCTCAAAAAGCACAACTTACAATCCGGTACAACTTGTACTGTATATGTTTTTTTGTTTTTTTTTTGTCTTCATTACACATTTTTTGGCTGGTGCGACTTATACTCTGGAGTGAATTATAGTCCAAAAAATATGGTAATTACGCATTATTTGACACCAGTCTCTTGCTCTTTTTTGCTACTTATTTAGAATGTATTATTACCACTTATATTTTTTACTCTTTGTTATTATATTATATTGTGATGAGTGAGCTAGTGTGTCTAAATAATTTCCCTTGTGGATCAATAAAGTTTGTCTAAGTTTAAGTCTAAGTGACGGACCTTCTACCAGAAAAGCCACACAATGCACCTTTTTCAACGTAACCTCCTTTTTAAGGTCTGTAAATCCAATATTACTCAGACAATGTGAGCTTGTAAGCGCGGCCAGTGACTCATTATCTTAATAACCTTTAGGCGGTTTCCAGCCAAAGCGGCCATGTTGGACAGGTACAGCGAGCCAAATGACCATGTTCTGAATCGAGATAAGATCCAATCCATCCATATACACGCACTCACTCCTCTCATCAAGATGTCACTGCTTTGCCTCAAATGCTCCGCAGTATGGCACTGAAATAGCCTATCTCCATGGGGACAAGCAGGTAAAGCCACCAAAGTGTGTTACAAGTCAGATCTGTGGAGAGGCGACGATATACACAGTTAGAATGTTGGTTTTTAGAAGTGTTTTTCAGCAATAAAAACACTTGTAATTGAATAAACTAGTGAGGAGAAGATGTAGCAGACTGTTGTGTGCTACTGTATTGATGAAGTTGGTGAGAGAAGGAGCAGGAAGCAGGAAGTAACAATAAAATAATGTTACGGATTTTATTTTTAGAACAGCACAAATGAAAATATGGCAAGAGAATGTGACAGAGTGGCTATGGAGCGATGTTGAGTGTTTGACTGATATCTTTGGGATTTTTAGCCATAACAACATGAAACTTGGTACTGCAAATGCGTGTACCATTATGATGACACCCTCCAAATTTGAGATCAGTCAGACGTGCGGTTCGAGAGTTATGCGTGGCATTAAAGAGACAGTCTGGAATTTTGGACATTGGGCATTTCCTAGTGAGCCAGAGTGTTGGAGACGTGTGGAGACACTTTTTGAAATATTCCATCCAGTCCTTGTATTTGCAGAGGTCGGTGGTGCTAGGCTAGTGCATGTCAATGGCCATAGTTAGCCTGCCACTTAAAACAGTCTTACCCACTCCACAAAACACCCGAAACAAAACTATTATTACACCAGACTGTCCATGTGAATGTCTGTGTTGATAGAGTAATGTTTGAACTAAAACTAAACTTGCATTGCGTGAATCGTCGCATTTGAGGAACTATTTTCTCAGCAGCAGCAGAATTTTACTTTGCTGGTAAGATAGGTGTTAGGTGACATCAGTCCGCTGTTGCCAAGCTTTCTATCAGGAAGTACAACTCACTGCTGCTGCTCAGACAGAAATCCTTCAAATACAAGGTTGGTTTTTAGGGGTGTAACGATGTCCAAGTCTCACGATACGATAACATCACGGTGTGAACCTCACAGTACGATATATATTGCGATATCATGGGAAAGCTCATGATATGGTGGGGAGGCTCACGATCAGGGATGTAGCAATATCCAAATGTCTTGATATGATATTTTTCACGATATACATCTCATGGTACGATATTTATTGTGATATTTTGTGGAGGCTGAACAGTTAATATGTAAGTTAACTGTTAATAAATTACTTTTTCTTCTTAAAATGCCTTGACAAGACTTAAGCCAAAGAACTAAGACTTAAAAGTGCTTAGAACTGTTATTTCTTCTTGTAGTCTGCACTGAAATGGAGCAAAGGATCATGGTCTATGTAGTTTCCCCTGTCTTTTTAGCTATTGCTGCACCATAACTCTTAATTTAAGAGACTTGTGATTCAATATATTGTGATGGTCCACGATATTATTGTGAGAACTTTGATGATACGATTACAATATTTCAGTTTTTGTTACATTCCTAACATCTATTATTACTCCAGACTGTCGATGTAAATGTTTGCGTTGATAGAATAATATTTGAAATAAAACTATCGCATGAATCGTTGCATGTTGAGGGACTATTTTCCCAGCAGTAGTGGGATTTTATTTTGTCAGTAAAACAGATGCTAGGTGACATCAGTCCGCTGTTGCCAAGCTTTCTATCAGGAAGTACAACTCACTGCTGCTGCTCAGACAGAAATCCTTCAAATGCAAGGTTGGTTTTACTTCTAAAATGATTCTATCAACACAGACATTCACATGGACAGTCTAGTGTAATAACAGATTTGTTTTGGGTGTTTTGTGGAGTGAATAAGACTGTTTTTAGTGGCACGCTAACTATGGCCATTGACATGCACTAGCCTAGCACCAGTGACCTCTGCAAATACAAGGACTGGATGGAATATTTCAAAAAATGTCTCCACACGTCTCCAGCACTGTGGCTCAATAGGAAATGAGGCCCTATGTCCAAAATTCCAGACTGTCCCTTTAATAGATAGACACAACATCAATGGTTTAATGCTATAGTCCAGACAAAAAATAACATCTCCATGGAAACAAGCAGGTAGCAGACTCACACTAGAAAAGTTGCATAATGTAAAGTATGGAACTCAAACTCACTCCTATAACAATCAGGAACTTTGACATAATACAGAGCATACTTCAAATTATTGCTCAAAACGTCCCTGATTTCCAGCTTGGTTTTTCACGGTTTTCTTTTTGTTTGTAAATCAGCTTTAAGTGTTGAAAAAGTGCTACTCAAATCCTCAAATTAAAGTTGTTAAGTAATGTCACATGGGGTACCTGAACCTGAAATTTCACAGCTGACTTCTAGCTTTGTTTTTGTTCCTTATTCATCATCCAAGAGACACTTAAATCTCAAAAGTGTTTAACCACGAAAATGTATTGAATATGTAGTAACAATCTATCGTAACATAGGATTACCACAGCCTTTCCTGTACACTTTTTGTCATTATTAAAGATCCATTCTCATAAACTTGTTAGCTTTAAACAACTGCAAAGTCTTTTTTACCGTGAGACATGCTGTCAATAAAAAAAGAGGAAATTGTAACATGAATATGACATGACACTTAAAGGGCCCATATTACAATATTTTCTGACCTATGTTATAATGTTGTGTCCTCATCACAAACAGACCTGGAATTGTGTTTTGTTTCATTCACACATTTATCGCACAAACCCTGCAGATTACGGCTGAGTTCTTCTATACACCTTCACTAGAATCGTTTGGATAATTTTGGAACTGAAAATCTCTAAATATAAAACTAAATATAAAACAAAGCTGTTGATTTGAAGACTCCCACTCAGAGTCCTGCACAGGTCCACTTATGCAGACCCACACCCGCCCCACACCCGTGATAAATTAGGGTCAGCCCATTAGTCCGACAGTTTAATAGGCCAGGACTAAAGCAGAACTAATCCAGGACTAAACCAGGATGAAACCAGGACAAAACCAGGACTAAACCTACGCCGTGTCATTAGCTTATTATAAATATTTACACGCCGCAAACCATAGAGCAGATTGCTAGGACTATACCAGGACTGGACCAGGACTGAAACAGGTCTAAACCAGTGTCATTAGCAAAAATATATACAGCGGATTATAACTATTTACATGCCGCAAACCATAGAGCTGATCGCCAGGACTACACCAAGACTGAACCAAGACTAAACCACGACTAAACCAGGGATAAACCAGGACTTAACCAGGTCTAAACAAGGATTACACCAGGACGGGACCAGGACTAAATCAGGACTACACCAGGACTGGACCAGGGCTGAACCAGTGGCATTAACATAAATGTATACACGCCGCAACTGCCGAGCCAATCACTAGGACTACACCAGGACTGGACCAGGATTAAACCAGGACTACACCAGGTCTAAACCAGGACTAAAGCAGGTCTAAACCAGGAGCTCTGCCACTGAGCCGATCACCTCCACTGATGGTTTTATGTAGTAAATACACTAAAGTCACTCTCTCAGCCTGGTCTACCATTTTTCCTGGAAAAAAAATAAAATGACACTTGTTTCCAGGGCAACTCACATCCCCAACCTGGTGCAGGACTCTGCTACCACTTCATGACATCACAAGGGTTATCTTTGGAGGTGTAGACAGACTGATAATAAAGGGTTACTCCAACATGTGTGACTGAAACAAAACACAACTCTAGGTCTGTTTTTTGAGGATGTAACAACAAGAGTTCAGTTTGTGTATTATGGGACCTTTAACATTTCAGAATCATTCCGAACTGTTGCCTCTCCCCCCACATGCCCGTGTGGAGTAC